ACATATTTCCATTTATCAGCCCTCATTTTGCAGTTCACTTGTTAGTTTTCTACCTGGCTTTCTCTTCTCTCTTCCGGCTGATGTTGATTACTGCCTTCTTTTTCCTATTTTCTTGAATCTTGTCCAGTGTATCAACACTGATCCATTTCTTGAGATGATGGTCATTGTGGCCCGAAACCTCATAAAAGGCTGAAGTTATTGCTTCTTTGATTTCTTTCCAGTTATCCTTCATGCTAGTTTCCTCTTCATTAAGTCCCGACCGTAGCTGCTACCTTGACGTGGTGGTCGGGCTTGACTATCGTGATGACCCAGCCGAGCTATACTGGCTGGAACATATGTTCCTGCAGGTCGATTGGAGAACGATGAGACTAAAAGCAGCTACTGAAGGTCTGAGGGCGAATTCGTACTGCTGACTGCAGATGGGTATGACAGCAGTAAGATGTTTTCCTCGGACAACCAGCATAAGCAGCGATGCTGCCTTCTCACAAGGAAGGAAGGGTTAGAAAAGGTCGACCCTAAAAATTTCACACCTCACCGTACCTCACGGATTTCCGTCTCAATCGATTAGGGTGCTCACTAAGGGCTAATCCTCAAAAAACTTTTCATAAAAAGGCCATGTGTGACCGGCCTCAAGCAGTTGTACCTTGGGCTCTGCGGTCACGCACCAACACTAATCTATCTTCCTTTTCAGGTTCCTCAAGAAACAACCTTCCACCGTGTGGGCAGCCGTGAAGTGACAACTGCACTCATACCCATAAAAGCACACGAGACAAAATTGTTCAAAATCAAATCCTTCCTACATCCCCTTGTTCCTCTTTTATCTCCACGACTGGCTCTTCTCACATTCATTTCTCATAGTGCACAGCTAAAACAAACAATGTGAGTTCACGAAACGTCATTTCTGGTCTCCTGAAACCCCGTTCTAGAATACATGTTGGAGCATTTAATGTACGGACATTGTGTCAAATAAGGCAACTGGCTTCCTCAGCTAGAACATTAGAATCTCGCGCCATCAATGTATGCTGCGTCTCAGAAACGCGCATACAGGATCCTAGTAAAGTCATTATTCTGATTTCGCCTTGTCAAAACAAAGAAGCAGCCCGATTTACTCTTCGTGTGTCCTGTAGCCCTGATGCCGCTGGGTGTAGGTATAGCATTGAGTCGTAGGGCAGATCTAGCTCTCCTAGACTGGTTCCCAGTAGATAGTTGTTTGTGCGCCGTCCGACTAAACGGGACAGTAAGGACTCGGAAAGATAGGGACACTCGTCGTTGCCTCTTCGTCGAATCTGCATATGCTCCCACTGACTGCAGAGCAGACGAGGTTAAAGACGAGTTCTACAGAAAGCTTTCGGACCTCCTCCAAAAAGCTAGGCGCTCTAATATTAGATTCAGATCATGCCATAGTGCAAGCGCGTATTTGTTTGAGGCTTACTGGACGTAGAAAAGACACCGTAAGGAAGCCTCTTAGGGTTTTATTTAATGATAATCAAACTAAGAAAATATTTCGGCAGCAACTGGAAAGTTAAGTAACCATGTAAGCGATTCCCATCCGGAGGCAGGTTGGAATGATATCAAAAAGGCTGTGGAAACAGCAGTGGTATCTGCTAGTAAGGTTGACCATAAGGCTAGAATGAAACCGTGGATCTCAGTAGCATCCACCGATCTGAAGGATGCCCGAAAACTCATCCCACCTGGCTCTGAACATGAAGAAGAACGAAGTCAATTTAGGCGCAGACTTATAAAAAGCCTACGTAACGATCGCGAACAGTGGTGGGTGGCGAAAGCAAAAGCGATGGAAAAGGCAGCGGCGATAGGCAACACTAGACAACTTTTCCGACTTATCAAGTAAACTGGTATTAGGAATCCTAGTATAAGTGAGACTATCTCAGAATATGACGGGACTATTATTTATTCTCAATCCAGGAGACTGGATCGATGGGCAGAACACTTAAGGGATCAGTTCAACTGGCCTCGAGCCACTCTTCGGTTACCCACGATCTCCAGTCATCCTGAATGGCAAATCGACCTAAGTCCCCCTAGTCTTAATGAAATTGAAAAAGCGTTAGGAAATCTGAAGCGAGGGCGAGCTGCAGGTCCTGATAGACTGACCCCTGAGATATTTAAGGATGGTGGTCCAGTTTTAGCAACTAGGTTGACTGAGATCTTAGGTAGAATCTGGGAACTGGACGGAATCCCATCCGACTGGTCTCAATCACTGGTTGTTCCAATCTATAAGAAACGAAAAAAGTCTTCTTGCGGCAATCACAGGGGAATAAGTCTAACTAATATAGTATCTAAAATATTGGCCTCAGTAATACTTCGACGCTTAACGAAAGCTCGTGAAGAGCAAACTCGAGAAAACCAGTCTGGTTTTCGACCTGGACGTGATTGTATAGATCACATCTTCACACTACGATAGGTCCTGGAACACAGACACATATTTAGGCGTCCTACAATAGTTGTTTTCTTGGACCTAAAAGCGGCATTTGACTCTGTGGATCGTGAGGTTCTGTGGCAGTGTCTGTCATTGAAAGGTGTACCAAACAAGTACATTAACCGTATATAAGCTTTCTACTTGAACAACACTGGTCGAGTGAGAGCTTATGACGAACTGTCACCGGAATTATTTACTTCAAGTGGTGTCCGTCAGGGATGTCCACTTTCTCCATTCTTGTTTAATTTTATCATAGACATGCTCCTAGAAATAACCTTATCGTCGTCTGAATTTTCTGGAGTAGACCTTTTACCTGCTGGCTCGCTTATTGACTTAGAATATGCCGATGACATAGTCCTACTTGGTGAAGATGCTGACAAAATGCAGTCTTCTGATTACCCTAAGCAACAATGCAAGCATGTTCGGGATGCGGTTTTCCCCCTCGGAATGCAAAATGTTGCTTCAAGATTGGGTTTCCTCGGCACCTGAACTAGTGATAGGGAGTGAAGTAGTCGGACATGTAGACCGCTTCACTTATCTGGGGAGTCTCATCATTGCTGATGGCCTGGTGACTGACAAAATCTCAGCTCACATACAGAAAGCTCGACTGGCCTTTGACAACCTGCGTCACCTATTGTGCAGGCGAGCTATCCGTTTACTAACCAAAGGACGAGTGTACTGTGCAGTAGTTTGCTCTGTCCTACTATATGGATGCGAAACATGGCCGGTAAGAGTGGAAGATATTTGTGGATTACTAGTATTTGATCATATCTGTCTTAGAAGCACTGCTTGTATATTCTGGGACAACCGAGCAAGCAATGCTGTCATTAGGAAGCGAGTACTAGATAAGGATGGCAGACCAATAGATGAAGTAATGAAACTTCATCAGTTGAGGTAGTTGGGACATGTGTTACGAATGCATAACCACCGACTGCCTCGACGAGCTATGTACTGTGGTGTAGGAGTAGGTTGGAAGAAAGTTAGGGCGGCCAAACCAAAACATGGCGGAAATCCATGAAGTCAGTGACAGCTGAACTGAGTGATGTTGGTATATGTAGGCTACCCGGTTTGGGTCCGCGAGACGACAGTCACCGATGGTTAGAGACCTTGAATGACATGGCTCAGAATCGTTTGGAATGGCGCAGGTGCATCCACTCTTTATGTTTTATGTAATTCTATGCTTCTGCATTCCTCATGATCTCTACCTTTTCCTTCTAAATTTGTCTTACAGAATTATTCCGCTCCCTAATCTTCTCCATTACTGCTAATCCTTCAATTATTGCTATCACTCTTGGATTTGAACTGACAGTTGCGTCTCTGTGCTGATGGGGCATGGCAACCTGAACTTATGTACTTACGTACGACGTTCTGCGTTGTATCTGTCTGTCTGTCCTCTTCATTAGTAGATGGTGAAAGGCTTCGAAGTTGTTGCTGAGAGTAATGTTGAATTCGTTGGGTTTGACCTTATCCCCAAGGCCGTGTTAAAATTCTGTGATGATGTTCGTCTCTTTTTCCAGTGCTGCTTTAGTTTCAGCTTCTTCTTGGGCACTACCGAGTGGTGATCAGAAGCTATGTCATCTCCTCCCTTGGTTCTCACGTGCTTCACCGTGCTTCTGAAGTTTTTATTGATTCATCTGTGATCAGATTGGTTCTCTGTAGTGCTAGGAGGTGAGACTAATTTGGTTTAATGCATGCGTTGGTACAGCAATATAGTGCCGGTCACTATAATTTTGTTGTTGGCACAGATATTTGCGAATCTCTTACTGTTATCGTCCCCTTCTCTCAGTCTTTGTCATCCCATAATGCCTTCATATCTGGTGTTGTCCATTACAACCTTGGCATCTATGTTTTCCACCAGAATAGTCAAGTCCTTTGTTAAACCTGTTTCCAATGTGTTTGACTTATTCCAAGTATCACCAGGTTGTTTATTTTTATTTCTGCTGCAACTGGAATGGTTCTTCTGGTCTGCCTCATTGTGAAAATTTTTTCTATCCATATATTAATGCCTGTGGTAGTTATTGGAACGTGTATCAGACTCACGACTTCAGAAGGAACTCAGCTTTAATCATAAGGCGTGATTACGTTTCTAGATGAAAACATTCCAACTGACAGAGTAGAATTTAAATGGTTTTAATTATTTGTTCTGGTTAGCGTTTCTATAGCAAGTTGATTTTCTATGGGATGAAATCGCCAACCCCATGCCCAAACTTCGTCCTTTATCCAAGCCTAGGAACGTCAGTACCGCTACAACGGCTTCAGACAGAGTTGAAGTACGTATAGCGAAGATGTTGTTAGATTTATTCCGTTCTCTGAAATCAAGCTATTGTATTTACTTTGAACATCATGTGAAATGAAATCATAATATTCAGTAAACAAATGTATTTTATTATTATTATTATTATTATTATTATTATTTAACATCAATTAATTTACCAATAAGAATCAAACAGTGCAGTTTAAACTATCTTATGATGTTTGATTAAATTAACAATTACCAATATATAATGAAAGACGATCTGTAACTGAAAATGTTTGCAAGATGAACAACCTTATTAGGAAATCAAATATGTTTTCAACTGTAATCATTTTAGTAAGTTTCTGTATTATGTAATTATCGTTTTTTCCACTATGACATTGCTTTTGTCTTGTTTTGAGAATTGACTAACGAAATAATCCTTTTAAATTTTAATGTTACATTATTGTTTTTGACCGGTTCATATTTGATACAATAAAAATTTATTTCATTTGAGTTATTTTTTTTGTCAACAAAATTTTCTTACATGAAACTTAGTTTGCTAACGATATTAATAATAATACAAAAATAGACTTTATTTTTTGATTATCAACTTGCAAGTCCTATCAAAAATTCATCCGCCCAATATACAAGTGATAATATTTCAAATCCAATTATATTAATTCCTGGTCTGGGTGGAACTCAAGCTCGTTGTCAACTGAAAAAGTCGAAATCCGATGAATTTCCAATTTGGCTAAATTTGTTTTATATGATGATTCCGGAAAAATTAGAAAAATTTTTCAGGTAAACTTTAATTGATGCTAAAAAGTTTTGTTTCATTAAACCAATGTAGTTTACGTCTTAATCCGGTCACATTTAACAGTGAAGACACAGACACATGTCGTGTTGTATTCCCTGGTTGGGGTGGAACACATGCAATGGAATATTTACAAACGAATACATTTCAATTTTTTAATTATTTCGGTCGCCTTGTAAATTCTTTGATACAGAATAAATTTTTTATCAAGAATTTTACACTACGTGGTGCCCCATATGATTTTCGTAAATTACCATGTAAGTAATACTTGATGTGTATAAATGATTAATTAATTATTGAAAATACATCTGTGAACTTTTTTTTAATAGCGTACATTGCTTTGTTAAATTCAATTCGAATAGACCATCTACCTAAAACTGTCATGTGTAATTAAATAACAGACATTGAACAATTGAATCTAATAAACAGTGAACTTGTTAAGTATAAAGCATTGAATATTTAATGGTTCGCGCCTATTTATACAAGCTTTAAAAATGAAAATATCACTTCTTAACTTTAAAAACCTTGAGAATTAAACAATGGAATTTCATACTTATGAGCCAGGATCAAGCGTAGACATTATTGATTCGATAGTATGAAGGAAAATTATATTTTATATCAGTCATTACATTTCATGTAAATCGTCTTTTGAAAGTTTGTCACCAGTTAATCTAAGACATTTCGAAGGCATTACGAAATGTAACTGATTGAGTTTTTGAAAGCATAAATTGTGAAGATCGTCATTCATTAACAACCAATTAAATGTATGAAAAAATGGGAAAGATTATATCCAATAACTTAAGTATTATATAATCCATGCTCTAAACGAAATGGATAAATCGAAAAAGAATAGAAGGATTGTGGCTGTCAGTTGCGTTCAGGCTGCTTGTTGTTCTACTTTGGACTCATCAAATGAATATATCTAGATCCCAGATTTTTTCACTTCCAGACTCGAACCCAGAACAGTTTGCTTCTAGCGCCATCGTGTTGTTCACTTAGCTAATGTGTTTTTTGTGTGGAGCGAATGGCTCTGCATTCAAGTTCTGAAATGAACATAAACTTATGAATGCAGGTACATCCAGCTGATGAGTCCCAAATAGGATGAAATACATGTTCAGAATTCCACTCATAACCCCTATTCATTCAATTTACGCCAACATTGTACTATCACCTTTAATTAAAAATTTAAGATGAATATACCACAATGATATGAGGATGATGAAAGTTTACATGAAATTTTATCTATTGTTATTAACTAGTGAATTAGATTTCTTTTTGCACAGTATATTATTATATTATAAGTGTCGTATCAATGAAACAGTATCTTTTTAAAAATTTGTCTATACAATATAATGAATAACTAATCAATTTTCCTTTGTGAACTTTGGTTATTGTGAAGTTTTTTTTACAAACAAAACAATCCATTGCTAGATGAGAATATTGATTTTATGAATAAATTGAAATTGTTGGTTGAAGAGACTTATGAGAATGCGAATGGACGACCGGTAGTTTTACTCGGTCATAGTATGGGTTCATTGTATACATTGAATTTTTTGAATCAACAAACTAAACAATGGAAAAAGAAATATATAAAATCGTATATATCAGTGTCTGCACCATTTGGTGGAGCTGTCAAAGCATTATTAAGCATTATTACCGGTAAGTCGACAATTAATTTGCATTGAACTATCATAATTGTAATAATTTTATTTTTTACAAACTAATAATCACTAAAATTATGACATCGACTATGGTTAACTATAAATCAGGATTCTTAGGGACTGAAAAGAAAATTTCAAGAAATATTTGTCCCAATATTGTCCCAATTAAGAAAATTCTTCTCTGGTTTATTACATGATTTCAAAAGGATCAAATTGAATGAAAAAGATTTACACGGCAATTTGATAATGTTGTTAGTGTTGCTTTCTCTGAGCTAAATATTTTTTATTGAGACATTTTCATTGTCATATTGGACTGTACGAATAGCGTTAAAAAAATGTTACGCCTGCACGTAAACACGTCAACTTGATGTACTTGAACTATTACGAGTTTATCTTGTCGGAAAACGAGAGCGAGGATCGAGGATCCGGTGGCACGATATGCTACTCAAATCCGATTATCCCAACCCCCATATTGAGTAAAAAATAAGAAGACTTGAATGTGAAGTAGATCCTGTATTCTACAAGGATCCAGAGAGTACGAGGTCCGAATCCAGAAGAGAATCAGGATCCCGGATTAGGGATCCGGGACCGAGCCCTGGTCCTGGTCATAAAATTTTACCGATAATGCGTATATATACATTTTGGTAGAATAGGAAACAGCGTCGAATTCTGTGGCACTGACAGTTAAGACGACTAATTGGAAGCAACATTTGAAGTGACATTGATGGTCAGGAAAACCAATAAGAAACAACATTGCAGCTCGTGACACTGATATATAGGACGACCATAAAATTGACCAGTAGGAATTAACCAATATGAACTGACCAATAATTGTCTTAGGATATTGGATGGATATCCTAACAAAAAATAATCGAAGTTCACCGATTGAATTATCCAGAAAGCAGGATAGAATGGCACCATAAGTCTAGCTGAAAGCTGTAGCATATAAATGAGCAGATCACTTCTCAGTGATACTGGATTAGGGATTACAATTCATCATGCATCATTATATCCCGATGTAAAAGTTTACATTTGATTTCAGACTAAAAGGCTTTATGGTATATAGCTTGTAATAATATCTAGGATTCATGGTCTTTAGGCTAAACACTGCCGTAGCTAAAACACATTGAACTTCAAGAGAACGACAACTAACTATCAAGAGGTTTTCAAGAATGATTGGTTAGTTACAAACATACCTACTTTGGCCAAAATTGTTTAACTTTAGACGAACTAAGAAAAAGATTTCACTAGAAAAATGAACTAATAAACTCAGTGGTAAATATCTAATATCTAATATAAATAACATGCCAATAACATGCAACAGTTAACACAGTCACCCGTGGAGTGACTCAAAAATAAGCTTTCACTGTAGGGTTGATATTCCCAGTAGAAATCAAATATTATATCACAACCTAACGTTTCAATAGAGAGAACACTTTCATCTCATTTGTAATAAAGTGATACAAAGATTCACTAACATTCATTTTACTATTTTATCTAAATAAGAACCCTCACTATAACCTTGAGAAATCATATGGATGAAGGACGTCAACCAATGAAACTGTTTCTAGAAATTAGAGTTTTCAAAAAGCGGCACTTGAATGACATTAATAAATTCACGCAATCTTAGATGAATTAAAAGCTTCTTTCTAAAAGTCTAAATCAAAAGAAGGCCATTCCCTCATAAAAACAATTACTGGTTTCATCTTACACATTTTGATTGATCAATGAAATACTTGTACAATAAATAAATAAATAAATTGTTTATTCATTCTCAAAAACCAATACTGATAAACATTTTAAGAATTGACTTTACCACATTACAGTAAGCATTGAAATTCAAGAAGATAAATATTTGTCTAATCAAGTTGTTTGTGTTTTTTGTTCAATGATTTATTATTTGTCATTCATATGGATTGTATACCAATAATTATTCTCTTGTAAATATTACATCTATTCGTCATTAACTGATGATGATGATGATGATGATGATTACACGTACACATTTAGATTTTAAAATCAGTGTTAGTTAGCTGTTAGTTGAACAACTTTTATTCAAAATAGGATTGATAATTTTCTAGATAAATATTATATCTCCCCAAATAATCGAATGAATTCATATCATGAAAAAAGGGTAGATTTTTGTTTTAATGTTTGATGGTTCATTCTTTCAAAGCTAATCTGAAACTATTCGCGCATTCAACTGTCAAAGACAAATGAAATTCGATCACTTGGTCACAATTAATGAATTTATCATATCCGACTGCACATTATGTTACACATTATATTGATTTTCATGGAAAACTAAATTTCCTTAACAAATTATTATTGATGATTATAAATTTGTTGATTTATTTATTCTATATAATTTAGGTGATAATTTCGGTATATTTTATCGTAGTCCATTAAGTTTTCAACCGGCTTTACGAACATTCTCTTCTGTTATATCCAATATACCTGATCCAAGAATATGGCCTAATGATGAAGTGTTAATTTCTACTCCAAATAAAAATTATACAGCACATCAATATGCAACACTATTTGAAGATATAGGTTTTTCGGTAGGTACGTTCATTGAATACAAAAATGTATAATTGAACAATGCTTGTTTTATTTCATCAGTCTTATTGACAATATTTGACAAATTTTTCTTGTTGTCCATTTTCTCATAAATTGTCATCTATTTTTTTTTATCTCTGTATTGAAAAAAATTTATAGATAGAGTGTTTCGATAATCAAATATCAACAAAAGCAGTAAACAGATTCTAGGAAAATTCTTTTCCTATTCTTATATCATTAAAATTGATTACGTAGTATTCTTTTTCTGACTGGACATAGATTGTAGAACGCCTTCACTTCTGTAAAAAGTCAATTTGTTTTATGTAATATAGGAGAAAATTGTGGAGTATACTTTGATACTCTGAAGCACTTGAGAACATTGCCATAATCGCATGAAGCACCTACATTTCAATGTCATCCATGAAGAGAAGCTTAAACATGCATTCCAAATGAGGACAAATGTCAGACAACTCAGTCTAGCATCTAATATTCTTGAAACTATTACGGGTTCACTTTAGTCGGTAAACAAGAGCGAAGACAAATGATCCACTGACATGATAGGTTACTCTAGTCCGAGCGCCCCCCAGGCCCTACTAAGTAGAGGAAGAAGTCTTGATAAGACTTAGAAAGTGTATTCTACAAGCACCAAGAAAATCGAGATTCACAAGCACACAAGTCGAGTATATTTATTCAAGATAGAAACGTCCTTGGGAGAACCACAAAAATCGCGTACTAAAATAATACATCAACCAATAACAGTCAAGGATTTTCCGGGTGGGAAATATAATCTCAAAGTCAACTGATTAGCCTATGCGCGAAAGCATAAAATCCAAAATTAGAGCCTTAATCAATTTGAGTTCTAGGGTTCTGACGTCCCCAACACCATCATCCTTGTTCTCCCTCCTGGTTGTTGACTGGATTTTGTAGATCTCCGCACCTCATGAAAAGTATGGGATATAATGGACAGCTTAGATGCAGTTCAACAATTTGTACGATGCAGAAGATAACCGTTCTATCTTATGTACAATAATAAATACTTACAGTGACAGTCAGTGTAACAGCGGGTTTTACAGTGGTAGGGATCAGCATTATTAATGGCAAAAACACGACCATAAAACTTAACATAGCGAGAAGGAACCAAATCACATTTATTGACGAATCTTCATTAACATCATTAATGGACACCAAGCCTCCGATGCAAAACTTTATGTGCAAATTACCAAAGCAATGGCAGTATTCATGCAGATGAAGAACGTCTGGAACTCAAAACAACTGTCACTCAACATCAGAGTTAGAATTTTCAATACAAACGTCAAGACAATTTTGTTGTGAGAAGCTAAAACTTGCAGGACTTCTGCATCCATCATCAAAAGTATACAGGCATTTATAAACAAATGTCTACTCAGGATAATGTTCATCCATTGATCAGATACCCACATCAGTAACCTACTTTGACGGAATAAACCGGCTTTCAGCTGAGGAAATTAAGAAAAGACCCTGGAGGTGGATAAGTTATAATTTACGAAACTTGTCGAAATGCTCTGCACAGTAAGCCTTAACTTGGAGTCCTCAAAGAAGAAGGAAAAAAGGCAGAGCTAAAAACAAATGATATTGGCAATCGTAAGAATGCATCAAGGATATGATTAGCATGTGAGAATGGCTGGAAACCAAAGAGGAAGACAGGGTTGGTTAATTGATCCTTGTTCGGCAGCCTAAGCTCCAACAGAAGTAACAAGTTTCAGTAATCAGGTTAGCATAAATCACTGTTTCGGAATAAGAGATAAAACTTTCCTTAAATTTCTTCTAATCAGTTAACCTTTTTGAAAATATTTTATTTTGATTAAATAAATAATAAATTAAGTCTAGATGTATCTTTACGGTCGTATTTCTAGTTTCAGTTTAGAATTTGCAAGTCATAATGATGACAGTGAAGCGGATTATAATGATGAAGCTTACGGAAACAATGTTTTTTTTTTAGTTGACACCAATTCAGGTATTCAAATTATATTTCAAATTGACGAAAACGTTTCCTGACAGATTAATTTCAACGAAAACCATAAAACATTTGTTCAATTCTACAATATTGAGGTTCAAATTTTTTTCTGTTCTTTTTACATTTATTTAATAGGTTATCAAGTATATAAAAAAGCTATCAATGAATTCATGAAACTAGATTATCCTAAAGATGTTCCTGAAGTATACTGTGTCTATAGTTCCGGTTTATTAACTATGAAAAGACTAATTTACAAATCACCAAGTGTATTTCGTTCCGCATTTCCCAACCAATCACCAAAATTAGAGTATGAAGACGGTGATGGTACAGTGAATATTCATAGTTTACAACATTGTAATAAATGGCCTAATGTATCAGTTATACACTTAATCACATCGAATCATGTTCCAATTTTATCTGATAAACGATTCATCAAATTTATACAAAACCATGTTACTACTAATATTAGTAAGTAGTTAAAATACAACCAACCAATTATATTATGAAATTATCAAAACAGTATAAAAATAAATGGATATTTGTAATTATTTTCTCTTTTAATGTCATTCCCGTTTATGATAAGATAAGTTTGATTATTTACTTAGAATAAGAAGAGAAGAGAAGACAACCTTTTGCAAACGAACGAATTTTACATTGTTATTATAGAAGAGGTGAAACTGCATTTGTCTAGTGTTCAAAGCATTCAAAGTGACAGTGAAAAACTGAACTTTACCAACATAAAATGTAAACGATAAAGTTAAACCTAGAGAATTATCACTTGTTTCATTGCAAACTGTATGTAACAAGTGAATTAATCCAGTTCAAATTCCGAATCATTAGTCGTTACACACGAATACTAAACTCATGTCTACAATTCTAAATATTTAATCCCTTAGTTTCAACCATAAAATACACAATCCTTAACACCAAATTATAAACCTTATCCTCCAAACCTAACAGTAATCAATCTTGAGACTACGAAATAACTATCTGTCTCCAAATAACGGATGGAAATTTTTTACAGCTCTCTGGATAAAACTGTACATAGTAATTTTTTATTTGTAGATGTAAAAACGTGTAGAAGAATTCAGTAGATAGATGCACTAATTATTTAATTTTACTCATTATCATTGTTTATTTATCGCAAAGTATTCATTTACAAAGCTGTTCTCTGATAAATCAGCAAGGGTTAAAATTCATCCTGGTTAATTTTGGCTCGTCCCTACACTTTACTTCTAACAAGGTGACTATGAATTCTTTATGCATATTTGTATACCCTTATTTGATGAAAAACAATCACTCACTGGGTTCGTCGAAAACAATGTATAACCTTGAATAAAGGCCCACTGATTCACTGAACCGTAACATATCAACATATTGATATGAAATCAAAACACCCAGACTGCTCCATAAATCCAGATCCGGCAATTTTTGCATCGGCCCTAACTTGAGCACAACACTCTGCCGTATAACTAGTGCATACTGATTATGTACGCTCCACTGTAAGTGATGTACACCACAATAACAGTTTGATTGGTCGTAAAAATCCAAATAGAGAATACTGTTCCAAATAGAAGCGATGAAATTCAGTGAATAATTTGTAAACAATATTCTAAAAATAAGAACCAAGGAAAATCAAGAAGATAAAAGTGTAACAGTTTTTTATCACTGATTCTCAAGCGTACCATTTAAGGTCTCCAGCCAAATAATAAACGGTACATTTTCTGAAACATACCTTTCTTTTTACATACTCCATGAGTACATGGTAGTTAGGTACTAGGAAAACATACTCCATTGACATAAATTTCTCTCAATGTTTGTCTAGTGCAAAATATGTAACCTTATCATTATTCTGTTGACGGTTTCATGAGACGCTAGAAACGTTGCCACAAAAACTCGAATCCAGAACCTTATCTGCAAGATAAGCAAGCGACTTTCAATATTGTGAAAGAATTTCGATCAACTCAGACTAATTCCTATCAACGGTTTTTCATAAAAACAACGATACAACATCTATCACTGGATGATTCCTGTTAAACAAAAAGGTGTATTTCAAATAAATATTTTCCCAAAAACAAATAACTAGTTCTTTTTCATACAGACAAGGATAAAAAGATTTCCTTCGTTGAATCATAAACAATCTTAACAACATTCAAAAAGACCCGTTATAAAAGAACAACCGGAACAAAGGAGTCAAGTTAACAAGCCATAAAATGTCCGATATCCTGAAGGCAGTAAAAAATAAGTCAATCACTAGCTATATTCCTTTTCAACACTCAAAAATTCTGTGCAGAGTTTTTCCACTATCCAAACGTTTCAGTTAGAATGAATTTTCCTAATTCATTCACTAAAAGAATGTTAGTAGATGAAATAAAATAAATATTGCAAATTTGATCATCTGAAACAGTTAGCATATTAATATACACTTAGCAGAGATAGTGGTAATGCAAGTGCGGTCGACTGACGGGACACAAATAAAACGAAAGGTGTAAGTTCAATACCAATGATAGCTAACATTCATCTGCACTTATACTATTCATCATTTCATCGCAATATCGAATCGATTTGCACAGCATACACACATGCCGATAAGGATTGGTCAGTTGTAGTCATCAACAGAAATCGCAAGATTCAAACAATTCATAAAAGTGAACTGGTTGAGAGTTCTTCATAGGATTATTATTGTTTCGCATTTTCACTAAACACATCACCATTCATTCATTCCATTAATGCACAAGCCTCACGGGTAACTCAAACATATTCATAGTGTTCCACAAATATATTCGTGATCAATATACAACTTGTATATAATTACATACAATCTTCAACTTTAACAGTACACAGCTAACACATTTCGGTTATTCCGTGTAGTCATTCTCCTAACTAATATGTAGTATTTCGATTAATCCCTAAATAAATCGGAGTTAGACATTAACACCCTTGGATGCCGGCCCAGTGGGCCAAAGGTTAGGCGTTCGCACGCAATACCGAAGTTACCGGAATCGAATACTGAGAGGAGAAGGAGTCATGGATGTGCACTGCTGATGAGTCTCACACCAGGACGAAACGGCCGTCCAGTGCTTTCAAGTTTCTAATCTTGGTCTAACAATCATTGATTGATGATTTCAAATGAATTCACTCAACAGCTTTCTATCTCTTCCTAATTCATTCTACGCACTTCTATTACTATCACATGTTGTAATAGATTATGCTAACTCACACCCACAAATCTCACATCACAAATAAATATGAGACAAATAAATACATCCTCTCCAACTAGCATAAACCACTTTTCACTTCTATTCACGTCAACACAACAATAACTCCTACCATTTAATCTTCTCTCAAGTCATCAACTAAATACTGGCAGTCATTCACAGTTGCGTCATGTTCATAATTGGTTAAATCTGAGTACACAAGCATATAAACAAATCAATGATATCATGTTCACCAGAAAACAGTAACGATTTGCATGGATTCCATTGTGTAATTGCATATTCACATAAACCATTGGTCTCGCACAAGCATAAAAATTTAATCTAATCATTTCACTTGAATTTCTTTGAATAATCTCTCAAATGAACATGTTAGGCAATTCATTTTGCACATATCTACTTCAATTTTCACTCTTCAAAATCAGACGTGTGAAATGTATGTTTATATTGCGTTTCACATTCAGAATAATTGACTTATTTGGTACTTCATTGTACTACTTAAGTCATTTTATTATAAAATATATAAGCACATAAACAATTGATACACTAACCAATGCTAAAACACATTATTGCAGTGTAAATAACACTATTCTCTGGATTCCATAACTGAGAAGTAAACATTTTCCGATTGCTCAAAAATTATTCACAAAACTTACCAAACAATATGGCGATCCACTTCACACTGCTCATTCAAACTGAATCATTGCATTAAGTCGTTTTCAGAAACAATCGATTTGTTCAATAATTTACATTACTAATAATAGTCGCGATAACAAAAATGGTTGTTTAGTAGGATTTTAGAATCGTATCTCAGAATAACTTTAGAAATAATATTCGACTCCCAAAAACCAAACCTTATTACATCACGAAATATGAAATAGATATGAGTAATTTCTGGATCAACATTTCCATATATCATACTTCAAGCAATTTTCATTTTCCATAATATAACGCTGGTACATTGTAGAGTTGACGTACTCGCCTTTTCAGATTCGTTTCGCTCTGGAGTCAAGTCTTGAGCCGCTAAATATGATGATGATGATGATGATGATGATGATGATGATGATGATGATGATGATGATGATGATGATGATGATGATGATGATGATGATGATGATGATGATGATGATGATGATGATGATGATGATGATGATGATGATGATGATGATGATGATGATGATGATGATGATGATGATGATGATGATGATGATGATGATGATGATGATGATGATGATGATGATGATGATGATGATGATGATGATGATGATGATGATGATGATGATGATGATGATGATGATGATGATGATGATGATGATGATGATGATGATGATGATGATGATGATGATGATGATGATGATGATGATGATGATGATGATGATGATGATGATGATGATGATGATGATGATGATGATGATGATGATGATGATGATGATGATGATGATGATGATGATGATGATGATGATGATGATGATGATGATGATGATGATGATGATGATGATGATGATGATGATGATGATGATGATGATGATGATGATGATGATGATGATGATGATGATGATGATGATGATGATGATGATGATGATGATGATGATGATGATGATGATGATGATGATGATGATGATGATGATGATGATGATGATGATGATGATGATGATGATGATGATGATGATGATGATGATGATGATGATGATGATGATGATG